CAGCTAGGCTGGGCTCCAGGACCTGCAGAGGAATTACACAGCTTGTTTTGATCTCACTGTGAATATGTATTTGGCAAATAAAGACTTAAAGCTGGGAACCGGAGCAGAACCTGCAAGCTTCATGCCGTCCTGCCACCTGTGATGCTCACACAATGATGCTCTCTGAGCAGCAGCTATGTAAAAAATGCTGACCTCTTATCAGGGTTAAAAGGGTCAGAGCAAATTAAGTGCTTCTCACTGAATGACTTTCTCAGGAAAGCGCTCTAGCATGAGCTCCTTTCTCTAGCATGATAGATGAGACCCATGACACCAAAACTGGAGCAAAGCAGTCTCCTGGGTGGCCAAGGCTTTGCTCATCACTGCAGTGAGACTGAGACATGGCACCTTCTTGCCAGTGCGGCAGAAAGACAAGCTGGGACCGCAGAGCTGTGCCCTTCTGCAAGGGAAACCTAAACCCTACCTGCCTTCAGCCCCGAGGAAAGCATCAGAGAACACAATTTTGAATGTCTATCCCATCTTTCAACCAGTGTTTTATAAAACACTCATTTCACATACGAGCTAAGCAGGGTCATGGGAAGCAGCACTGTCAGATAGACTCAGTTTTGACCAACACGGATGGGAGCTCCCAGGACCATGCACCTCTGAGAATTTTGCCCAAGATCACATGCAAGTCATCAGGACAGGAACATATGGAAGAGTCAATCCTTTTCATTGCCCTTTGGACCTCCTTTTACTCCAAGACTTCCTTTAATGCAGATGGCTTTTGAAGTTCTCCATAAATACTCAGCTTACACTAAACCTGAGCAGACATATTTCTGGAGAGCAGCCTGTCAGGTTACAGTGTGCCATCCCACCTCCCTCTGCTCTGGTTGCTTCCATTAACTTTTGCACAAATGATTCATTTTGCCCAGTCTTTTGTAAACAGCATTCAAAGCCAGCTGGAATTTGTTGTGCACCTAAATTACACTTGCTCAGCAAGCTCTTCCACAGAAGGGATTCATTTCAATCTTTGCCTGTGGTGGGGGCACAGCAATGCACATCCTTCTCTTTCACTGCAGCAGCTCTTTCACAGAACTGAAGCAGCATGGTTAACATCCAAACCTCACCGCTATTAGAACATGAAGTTACACCTTGAAGGAGGAAGGGGAAGAAGAAACTCACTGGATCTCTTAATTGTAGCCCTGGGCCAAATGTCACTGCTGAAGAGCACAAGGTGGGTAGGGGCAGGTGAGGAGCCAATACCTCAAGCTGAAGTGCAAAGCACGATGAGGCTCAGACACATGCAGTATCTTCAGCAGAGAGGCTGACCTTGTCACACCCCAGACTGTTTCAGCTGTCCCCCAGCTGACAAGGAAGCTATTAATGGACACATTGGGAAAGCACAAACACTCACCAGTCAACCACAGCAAAGGCCAGAGGGGGATGGTTAAGAGACCAAATCTGAAATGCGGTAAGCCGAGTTTTTAGAGTGGGGCAGGTGTTGGCATGAAATCACAGGTTCCTGAGGCTGAGAGGCAATCTTCACAACCTCATCTGAGGCTGCAGCATGTCAGGCCTTCGTTTTGGTGGCAGGACCCATTCCCACCCACCTCCTCCTTCCTTTCACCCCTGCTGTGCAACCATAAAGTAAACCCAAGGGGGAGTTAGTCACTGGACTAACCAACTTCAGCCATCAGGAAAGCCAGTAGTTCTGCCCATAAAACATGGCCGATAGCTTTAAGTGAAACACCACCATTCTCAGGGAATCTGCCTTTGCAAAGCAGGCAGAATCAAGCACGGTACATGACAGGCAAGAGGCAAACTTCCCCATGTGTTAACATAGGCAATGGGAACTCAGGATAAGAGGACAGACTGCAGACGATATCACATGCACACCTACACAGAAGCGTGGAGAGGACTTGAGCCATTTTATCTTTTCCAATCTAATAAAGAACTGGAGATAAATTCATCCAGTTGGCACAGCATAGACTTCAAAAGCCAAAAACTTTACAGCTGGCTTGCTAAGAGATGTTTTTTTGAGGTGTTGGAGTGGGAAGGAGGGAAGAGAAAAACACAGCTAACGCTCCTTCCTACAGCAAGGGGAGAGAAAGTTATTTCCTTCACAGATTTAGTTTATAAACAGTTCTACTTTTAAAGCAGAGTTAAAACCAGGATAAAAAAGTATGCTCAACATGCATTTTGTCATACCACACTGCTTGCCATACAAGCCAACACTGCTCTTCCTGACTGGAATTAAACTCCTTTACATCCAAAGCTCAGCTCAGCTCTCAGTGTACTGCTGGAGCAGGCAGGGAAGGCTCTTAGAAATGCTCTGCACCCCGCTGTGCCCCACCATGGTGAAGTTGAACACAACAGCTTCACCAGCACTACACACAGCACAAAATGCCTTTCTAGGAGATCTGACATCAGGTTGCATGCACATTGCCAAATGAATTACAGCACCCGGAGAATACAGCAATACTGAGATGGAGGACACCTTTAAAAACAGATGTGGACTACTCCAAAGGGAACCTAAAGTCACAGCAGATGTTCTTTTCAACTCCAAACACACATTACTGACTGCTGCAAGATGGTACTCTGGACAGGTAAAGAAAAGCTAACACTAATTGCTCAGGATCTCATTGCATAGGAAAAGACAACAGTGGCTCAAGCTTGCAGGACCTCAGGCATGAGAGCACTAAGATACCCCTTCTTAGTGTATCTCCTCCTTAGGGGGAGACATGGGATAAGGAAGCACACTGCTGAGCTGCAACACGCATAGGTCCCGTGCCCCGATAACCAGCCTCTGGAAGGTGAAAACGCACGAAGATCTTGCAACAGTTAAAAAAAAAAATGCACAGCCTCGCAGGACTGACTACACCAGTTCTGCTGCATTTTCACACAAGTCCAAGGCACAGTGCCGGCCTTGCACCCCAGCACTTGCTCATCACTGTGAAGCCACCAGCTGCATTAGCGCACGGTGGCACAGTGGCACCAAAGCAGAGTCAGTCCTTTTGCGACCAGAGGTGAAACTGTATAAAGCCATAAAACATGGAAACAAAGAGCTAAGAGATCAGTGAGAAGAGCCACATTTCTATCCCACTGCTCATTTATTTCAGTATCTAACCAGGCCCCCAAGGCTCTTGTTAAAGGAGTCTTTTCATACTAGTTTTGATACGAGAAGGGGCATGGGCAAGACTTGGTTGCTTAATTCAAAGGCATTGCCCTGAATACTGGAATGCCTGGCAGCACTTTTACTCAGTGATTGAAGTAGTTAGCCCCTTGCTGAAAACGCAGAATTACTGCAGACTAAATCTAGACAGCATTGCTTGAACCAATGCCAAGGTGCCTCATTTGTGTGACTAACTAATACCAAATGAATCATTTCTTTAAAAAGAACTCCAACTTGGACTTTCAGGGACTTGCAAAAATAATAATTATGTTTGTCTTTTATACCCAACAAACATTTTGATCTATAGTGCCCATTCAAAGGAAGAAGCTATGAGTACAACTGCTGGCAATTATTTTGAGTATTGTTTTATACTTTTAAGCACAGATATTTTGCTGTTTAAATTCAGATCAACACTTATTTCCTTCTCTCAATAAACTTTATGTTTGCCTGCTTTGTTGCTGATGTCCAGTACGAGGCTTTCAGAACATGATGCAAGCACGTTTTTTTAGCATGTGCACTCTTCTAATGAAACTAATAAAACACCATGCATGACAGAGCAAGAAATGAACTTTGTGAGAGCCAGGAGGATACAGGTTTAATTTCTCTTGATTCAGCAAAATAACAATAATCCTGTGTAATAATATGCCACAGTCTTGATGAAGAGAAAGTTCAGAACTGATCTTAAGTCTGCCCCTGTAATACCAGATCACTTTGCTATCACTCATTGACTATCAAACATCCAAAGACAAAGCACCCTGAATTCATCAGGGAAGAACAAACCAGAATAAAGTGATTTCCCTTCTAGGAGTCCATTCTCTTATGCTGTAGCTGGAGGATGATTTAACCAGCATTTTCTTCGCACTACACAATTGACGCAGAGCAGGCACACTGAACTCCACTTCTTCTTCACTTAAGTTCTGCGGTCCATCGCGGTTAGGGCTCCAAAGGGAGGCAGATCTCATTTCAGCCAGATCCACTTGTCACCAACATCAGCATTGTAGCCTTGCCTAAAATTGCGACCAGGAAGCTAGAGAAAGCAGAAAGTTCAGTCAGAAACATTTCTCTTTTCACTCTTTATGGAAATGTTTAGATTCTTTACGAAGTGCCTCATGGTATCTGCAGAAATGCAATGTAAAATTTTTTTTACAACATAGTGATTAGCACTCATAGAAAAATCAGTCCCTCTGAAAAATTTGAGCTGTGCAGCTGGAGCGGAGGTCCACAAAAACCACTATGTCATAGTATATATAAATATTAGGCCAATATGTCAACGGCACAACGGCACAACAGCATATTCCACGGGGCTTCATCCAATTCTTCTCCCCTACACACCCATGTGCCCGGTTTTAGTATGAGATGACCCCTCTAATCGTAGCATGGAGTAGAGGAATTGAATCAGTCAGTAGAATCTCATACCAAAATAGGCACACATTAAATACATGAAGTATTTCATGCATGAAATACTGAGTTAATTACTACATTAAATTAAACCATTCAAATGAAATTGCATATTTAGCCTTCAAGAGCTGAACTTAACTTTATTAAAGCAAAAGCAGTATCTGCCTGTCTTCATAAGCAAAGCCAGAAACCACTTCTTGCTGGAAAAACTGAAGTTTCTCGAACCCCATACCCAAATTTCACCGGTACCCTGGGACCTAAGCAACACACTGCCTCTGAACCTTGCTGACCTTTCAGGCTGCAACTCTTCTACACAGACCCTTAATGCTGCTAGGAGTAGCCTCTGCCTAGGCAGCTCAGACACACAGGTTAGCCTGACCGACCTTCCTGTACCCATGGTTCCAAAACCAGGGCTCAGGGAACCAGTGCTGCCGCATGAAGTCACCTCTCTGTACAGTTCGTTACACATCGCTGTATGCGAGATGACAGAGGGCTGGGGACCACAGCAGGAAGCCTTTCCTTCTGACAGCATCTCAAGAGCTCGGGCTGGTTGTTCAGGTCACAAGAGCATCACGCAAGGAGTGGTTCGAGCCCAGCAAACCAAGAAACACAAGAGGGAAAGGCTGGATGGACTGGAGCACTGGGAGGGGGACATCAGATGTACTAGGAAAGCTGGAGGGTCTGCATACTCACCAGGGAGGGAAAGCAAATTATCAGAGAGACAAGAGCAAACGGAGGTGAATAGCAGTAGCCTAAACAGAGTCTTAGCATTTGGGAGGTCAAGAGTTGTGTCTAGACCTAGAGACCAGGATCTGTTACCTCCAAGTCTGTGAAAGGACATGAGACACTGAAGCACACAACCCCCTTCCTGGTAGTCCATCTAGCCAGCCAAACAGATGTCCCACAAACAAAGCCTTCCACAAGGTTCAGGAAGAAGAGGACACACACAGCTGTGCAGATTGTGCATCGGGATGGAAAGCCAAGCCTGGCTCCTCTCAGCCTGTTGTTGTGTGCAGCCACGTTGCAAAAGCACTCAGGCAGCATTACAGACACAAAAATTCAGTGACCAAGCCGTTCTACCTTCAGCTTTAAAGATTTGGGAAAAGAGGCTTTTTAAGTAGCAGCCATTTTAAGGGATTACAGACACAGCACACAGGACTACAGGAGAAAGCTTGCCAGTACGGTTAAAATATCAAACTCCCTTTACACAGCGTACATGCTCTCTCTGCAGGCAAGGAAAGCGCTCCTCCAGGCCAAGCAGGCTGCATCAGGTCAGCAAAAGCACACTTATGTGACAGAAGACTCACCACAAGTGTGCCAACAACACTGTCTCAAAATCATCTCCTACCAACTTGCTTTGCAAAAGCAACACAAATTTTTAGTGCAATTTCAGCCTGAATAAACATAAACCAGGCTCTGTACCTGCTAGATAACTAAGCCATGGGAACAAAATCTGCCAGTGACAGGATCAGTGCATAAAGTAGCTACTTTGGCAATTACTCTGAACTGAGTGATCCTACAGAGGAAACAGACGTAGATACATTCAACCTTTGAGTCTCAGGTGTTAAAGCAGTCCCCCTCAGACAGTACTGACCATGACCTGAAATGCCAGAGATGGTTAGGTCCTAGCTCCAAAAGGAGAGTCTACCTCCAGAACCTCTCTTCCTATCTCCAGGAATGAAAAAGAGACAGAACACAGCGTACATCTTTGTGATACAATACTGGAATCAAAAAGCAAACCAACATGAAAAAGCAAATGAGTTTTGTGAGAAAGTCTGAAGCAAGCAGAGATGCTATAATAAAACCCTTCCTTTAAAAATAAGCTATCTGCTGGCAGCCTTTACAAATAATTAAGCACAGATTATCTGCTCATCTCCACAAAAACACTGGTTTCACACAGGACCCCTGACTTGTCCTGATGATTTTTCCTTTCAGAAAAAACTGTAAGAGTATCCTGTTTGAGAGAGCTGCCCCTGCAGAGAGAAGCAAGACCCAGACTCGATGAAATGTATACTCAGGCCACAAAAACAGCTATTTAATCCAGGATGGGGGCGGGGGGTAGGTGGTGTTCTTTTTCTTTTTTTTTTTTTTTATTTGAAGGTCAGAAAATAGGACAATTCTTT